GTGATCTGCCTGCCTTGGCCTCCCAAACACTCTATTCTTCATGGGCATTTTCTTTTTGCCCCCCACTCCCAACACACACAAACATAATTTCTGTGGAGAAAGAGACTCTTACTCTGTTAAATTGAACTTCTGACTGCAAATCATCTGAGTTTCTATATATTTAAGTATTTAAGCTTAAACTCAAGTATTTACATATGAATGAGTTCTGTATTCTATAACCATATTAAAACTTTTCCTAGTATTTTTATAGAATTTTGTTATAGCTACATCAGAATTAGGATCATTATTAAAGTGCTACAAAAGCTAGTTATTTCTCAGACTCTGTTAGATTAAATGTGAGAAATAATGCTGGTTTCAGGTTATGATTGTATAATATAGATGAACCCTGTTAATAAAATGGAATAAAAGTTGGAACTTTTGTCTTTTTAATATACTTAATGGTTTCTATTGAACTTTCTCTCTTTTTAGAGACTGATTTTAAATGTAATTCATTATGTATTCTTTTTATCCTATAATTATGTGTTCATAATGCAGGGGTGGATAGTAGAGAGGCAAAGAAAGGGACAGAGGGAATGAGACTTCTCTGTTGTGGGGAGGCATCTTTCTCTAGTAAGAAGGAACAAATAATCCAGTTACTAGTCATACCTATTAAACTTCTGTGTCTGTGTCAGTTGTTGCTAAACTAACCTCTAATGCCTTAAAAGGGGTGATAACATATAAGAGAGTTTTTGTAAAACTTTGTACAAATTTCATTTAAAAGTAGCCTGAAATCAAGACCCTTTCTCTTACCTAGTTTGCTTTGGACTTGGAATGTAAACAAAAGATACTTAATGTACTTAACAATTATTCTTCTCTACAGTTACTTATCTTTATTCGTGTGTGTGTGTGTGTGTGTGGGTGTGTGTATCTCTTTGGTATAGTGTGTTATAAGTTAATCTTTCATATGTTGTCATAGCTTTAATGGACATCTGTGTTCCTAGATGGATTATTCTTTAAATGGTTAAAAAATCATAGAATTCTAATAGAAACACTTTTTATTCTTTTGCAGCTATGTCATCTTATCTTTTAATTATTAAAACAGAGTTTCCTGCTGCTATTGCAGAATTTTTGACTGGAGACTATAGTAGGTAAGAAAAAGCATTTTACATTGTGTCCATTCATTTATTAATTCAGTAAATATTTATTAAGCTGTAGTGGCAAGTAAAATAAATGTAGTCCTTGCCCTGAAGACACTTACAAATTAGGCAGAAATGAAGCAGTAATAGAATAGAAACTACTCAGCCAATGTTTATTGATTACCCATATGAAAGCACTGTTCTGTGAACCATATGAAGCACCAGATATAACCCTTGCATTCCTTGGGGATGTGAGGTAGGCTAAGACAGATCTGAGATTGAGACGCTCTTAAGGAGGAGTAAAGGGTAAATTTCTGGGGATACGCAAGACTGGGGTTGGGGATAGGAGAAGGTTGAATATACTGACAGTACAGGTCTTAAACAAAGGAGGGGAGTGAGTGATATTGCTGTCACTTCTCAGCAAATCATAGTGATAAAAAATGTGGCAGTTACAATTATACGTGTTTGAAATTCCTATTGTATACCATGGCAAAAAAATAAATTATTTGCAAGGACTTAATTGTTTCATTTCCTGTTTTTGAACAATATTATAAATAATGCTAAACCATGTCATATCTCTTTTATCTTTATTTTAAAAAATGCATCTTATATTTGACTTGCCTCTTTATAGGGAAAAAACAAAATTGTGCTTTTCTTTTCACTGTGTAGAACAAGAAAATTTTAGAAAAATGAACTTGAAAAGACAGGATAAATCATTTTAATTGCCATCAAGTTATTTCACATAGTTAAGTTTCAAACCACAATACAAAACCTGTCAGACTTTTAGATTTGAATATTGGGTTGTTCTGCTTCAATAATTGAACTTGTTCTGGAATGCAAGGAAAGATTTCAAAAATTAGTTTTTAGCTTTTACAATTCAGCTTCCATTAAAGAATTCTACTTAGATAACTGCAAATACATATTTGTAAGAAAAGTGTGGTATACTTTAGATCTGAATAGAAACCATCAAGAAAATTTAGTTGAAAAAAGACAAATAGAAGTCCTAAATGATTTTTCTTCATCAGAAGATATTGTTCATTTGTATGATACTTTACAATTAATGAGATTTCCACATTCATTATCACATCTGATACAACTACCTTATTTTATCTACAGTTTTATCTAGTTACATTTTGATTCTATCCTTAGGTTGATAAACAATTCCTGTTAGAAATAGCTATGTAAAATTCATTTTTGTATTTGCTGTGGAAAACATTGAGGGCACCTTCTATTACTCAAATTCTATGCGAGAAATTTATATTTTAGGGTTAAGAAATCAAGGCAATATGAGGTAGAATAAAGAGGACTAGACTAAGAGTAAGGAGATATGTGCTCTATCCATTTCATATTCAATAATCTCAGGAACTTAATTTAACTTGTTTTGACTATATAAGTTACTTGGAGCCTTAGGTTTTTTTATGTGATGTAATGGGGGTACCAATATTGCCTTCTTAAAGTTGCTGGGATGATCAAGTAAGATATATATACATATGCTAATAGCATGTGTATAAACAAGCATGTGTATACAGAAACTTATAGCGCAGTGTAAATGTGGAGAATTAAGAAATTCTAATAATTACTATATTAAAGGTGGTGTTTCCCTTTTTGCCCTGACTGCCGGGAAGCTCAGAGTCAAATGTGACACATTTGAATTAATATAACTGTATTAATTCCAACAGTTGTCACATGTGTTTTCTTTTTTCTTGGTCCTGAATTTCGTGGCTCCTATTTGTATTATTTTATTGTCACATGTCGGTGGAAAGAGAAGGGATTGTAAATATATGTAATATTTTAGCAATAATTAAAGTAGTATGTGGCAGAACTGGTATTGAAATTTAGGTCTTCTTTCTCTAAAAGTGATATTTTTACCGTAGCTTCATTTTAAATAATTGGCAAATGATTTACATTGCTGCATTGATTTTTTGTTTGTTTTTTTAAAATAAAAATTAAAATGAACTTCCATCTCAGTCATATTAATAGAAAATTGATTAAAATGTTATTTTTACATGTTAGAAATAGATTTTTAAAATCATATACTTCAAAATGCTGTGGTCAATTTGCATCATCTCTGTTACGTTTTAAAATTGTACGTCTTTTTAACAACCTTATCTTGTTTTAAATGTAATATATATTCATTTATTTTGGCTAATTATATTAACTTATTTGAACGCAGATAAATCATTAGTCTTGAAAGCTTAATGCTAGAAAATAATTAAGAAACAAATATTATGATAATTGACTTTACTATCTATAAAAGACAGTTTTTTTCTAGATAGACTTACATGGCAGTATTCTATGAGATCAACATGATATTGATAAACTTTTAGGGTTTGATTTACAATAAATTTTAATTATGATCTTTCAGGTGTGCTAATTTTCTGGGTTATCTGCAGGCTTGGTGTACCTTTGAAATATAAATCTTTATAAAGATATCAAAATGAAACTGTGTTCATAATAATCTAATAGATGTCAGAAGCTATAATACTTATACTGAACTTTCATGATATATCTATATATTTCATAGAATAACTTACATTTTTAAAATCTATGACTGTTAAAGTTGGAAGCTCTCTGTTAACATTTAATGATCTTGTCAGGGGAATATGATTGACACAATTAAGTTGTCTTGCATTTTAGTTACATAATTGGTATTGGATGTGAGTAAGATCCTAATTCAGAACATGTGATACTCTTGTTCCATTCCTTTCGAGAATGAAATTAAAGCAACTTATAAATAAATCTGGTTTTCATTAAAATATGGAAAAATACATCTGCATGCCAAAGCATTTGCAGTACAGCTAAGGATTTATACTCTATATTTCATACTTGGAACATTTTTATCATACAGGATTAAATCCACAGATCAAACAAGTTCTCTAGGAAGTATAAAGGTTTTTACTCTAATTCTTTTGGCTTAAAGAGAATGTATATTTAGATCACAGTAGGAAAACAGGAGTTCTGTTAGATCGTTCTTTATTCCCCCCTTAGGAAAAAAATTAAAGTTAGTACATTCTTCTAAAATGCTTATTTACAAAATAAATGTATCTAATATGTACTTTTTGAGATTTATTTTTACTAGTTTGTTTTTCTCAGGTGGCAGTTTTATTTTGTAAGTTTAATAATTTCTGTTCTTTGAAAAATATCCATTGAGAAATACAATTCATTTGTCTGTGACACACACATGAAATCTAAACTAATTTTACTGTGCTTTATTGTGTTGCCTTTATTGTTAATGAATGGTAAAGAAAAGCACTGTATTTACAATTGGCTTTATTAAGATGAATTATTAAGGATAAGAAATGATTAACAATAACCAGTAGCCAAGCCAAGGATAGAGAAATTGTATTTTACAGTAAAATTATTTTTGTATTAAGAATTTAAAGTTCAATCCTATGAAAAGGAGAATGCAAAGCATGATCTTGAAATAAACGAGGTAGTATCTGAAAGTATTTCCATTGCTACTGTGACTAAGATCATCATCTTCCTTTTGCTGATTTTACAGACATATAAAATGAAGTTGTTGAGCCAGATGATCTCTAAGGGCTCTTCCAGCTCTAACATTCCATAACTGTGGTTCTGAGTTACTGCTGGGAGGAGGTAAAGTTATCTTCAGTCCCACAGTTCAGTGCTTTGGTCAGTTATATGACTTTTATGGGCATTAAATGAATTGTGATCTGAAATAGTATAAAGTAAGTGGTGTTCAGAATTTCAAAAAGTGTTCCTTTATTCTTACGCAGGAGAAAAGAGTCCTGGTCCTGGGGATTAAATGCTCCCTTTTGTACGACTTCAGCTTCATGACTTTTTTTTTTTTTTGGCTTATCATAATTTTTTGTTTTATTTTTTATGATAAGAATACTTCACATGAAATCTGCACTCTCAACAGATTTTCAAGGGTATAATGCAGTATTGTTATCTGCGAGGGACAGCAAAACTAACAGATGGAATCTACTTTGGTATTCCTTTGGGCATTTTTCCTCCTGGCACTGCAACTGTCTGGGTCTAATATTGGGTCCCAGAAGGAAAGACATTTCAGACATAGAGCCCTGGGCCTTTTGCCAGCTTCAGAAATTTGGTTGCCAGGTGTTCCTCAATGAAAGATCTTTTGAAATTTCTGTTTTGATTCTTACTCAAGAGTGACTAGAAGATAAACATGTTGAGTATCATTTTTGTATTATTAATATGTGTACTCTTTTAGTACTTCCTGCATACCAGGAATTGAGGGGCATGTGCAAATGGAGAGAGCAAAGCTTCAGGCCCACTGAATCTGTAAATACTTATGCATAGGTTATAGTTTCTGGCATATGTATTTCCTAATGACACAAATTAGGGTGGAGAAGGGAAAAGTGTTGTCATGGTGCTGTTTCTGCTGCTGCTCCTTCTCTTGTTCTGTTAAAGAGGAAGTTGTCAGCACCCAACAGTAACAACTAAGTTCATATTAGAAGCCACTGGTTGAAATCCATATAGAAGAAGACTTTTGCTTAATTTAACGTGGCAGTGGGAGACTGGCTATCTGATAGAGAGTGAAAGAGGATGCATTATTGCAAAGTGGGAATTTTGAGGTTATCTGCCAAACAATTTGAAAAAGTCTCTATTGGTCTTTGATGCCCCAAGCTCCCATTTTTGCATAAGTTTTACTTTGTTACTATTGTGCATGTGTATGTATGTGTATACACTTCAGTGTAAAAATCTGACAGCTACGATAAAATGTAGAAAAAAAAGCAAATAAAAATCATGCATAACATCTCTAACCTAGTCACTGTCCTTTTAATTCTTTTGAATTTTTCCCAAAAGCTTTCAAAAATATAGTTAATAATTATATTCATATCATCATCATTTTCCATTTTATTCATTGTGTTTTTTCTTAAAGCCACATAACATTTCATTGAGTATGCTGTTCTAAATATTTTCAGATGTTGGATATATATAGAATTTTCCTCCAGCTTCTCATTATTATAATAATGTATTCAACAGCTTCATGTACATAGAATTTTCTCTATTTTATTTTCTTAGAGTAGATTACCCCTACATTTTTATTGCTCTTGCTGCATATAATCATTGTTTTTCCAAGAGATAGTACTAATTGGCAAGATCACTAGCAATGTATGAAGTCCAATTGTGCCACATCCTTGAATATTTTTGTTTACTAATTTTGCTAGATTAATTGCAACAGTCTCATTATTTCTTTAATTAGCATCAGTGAGTGGATTTTCTTCATGTGTATTTACTAGTTGTATTTCTTTCATGAATTGTTTCTCCTTTACATACAAATCTATTGAGGTCTTGGGGAATTAATTAACTTTAACTTTTAAAAATGTCTACATAGATATCTCACATTGAAAAATTGAAACCACATATATGCAAACAAGGCAAAAATAAAAATTGCTCATATTGCTATCACATAAAAATGTCTACTTTTTGGTATTTTAAGTATATCCTTCTGGCTTTATATGTGCATCCAGTTTTGTTTTTTTCAATGAACAAATACAAAATCATGTTAACCTACCTTTTTCTCATTCTGTATTCTAATGCCTTTATATGAAAATTTTAATATTTTACAATTGGTAATTAATGCCCTTTCCTGAAATTTGGAAAAATGTATATAGAAAACTATAAAGAAGAAAAATGACCTACTATTTTACCACCCAGAGATAATGGCTATCAATACATTTTAGTTTCTTTCCATTTTTAATGCATCTATGTTTTTCCTCAAAATTATCATGCTGTATACACACACATATGATGTTTACTGAATATTCAGTATATTTTATTTCAAAATTTTCATGGTCTTGAAGGTTTGTTTTCAATTTTTATTATTTTAAATGTTTTCAGTAAACATCTTTTTATAAAAGTCTTTGTTCTTCAGGAATAGAAAACCAAACACCGCATGTTCTCACTCGTAAGTGAGAGTTGAACAGTGAGAACACATGAACACAGGGAGGGAAACATCACAGACTGGGGCCTGTCAGTGGGTGGGGGCAAGGGGAGGGGGAGCATTAGGACACATACCTAATGCATGCAGGGCTTAAAACCTAGATGACAGGTTGATAGGTGCCGCAAACCACCATGGCACATGTATACCTACGTAACCTGCACATTCTGCACATGTACCCCGGAACTTAAAGTAAAATAAAATAAAATAAAAATTTACAAAAAGTCTTTGTTCTTATTATTTTTAGTAGTCTTTTATAAAAGTGTTTTCAAGTATATAATTATTTGAAAATTCTTTATATCTCTTGCCAAATTGCTTTCCAGAAAGATAATTTATATAATTTGCATTTTCACCAGCTTTTTGCACACCTCATCACTCCTCACTAATGTTGACTATTATCTTATTTTTAAATATTTATTTGGTAGTTGGAAATGGCATCTCTTTGTTTTTATGCATTTCTAAATGTAAATTCATTAACAAGAATAATGGGATCCCACAAGAACATTTTAATGAAAGGAGGTGGGCTTTTCCTAATGGCTGGTTTTAATGGTTATAACTCTGTGTGTGTGTGTGTGTGTGTGTGTGTATGTGTGTGTGTGTGTGTGTCAGAACAAACAGTGGAGTCCCGTGCCTAAAGTGAACTTTTTTTTTTTTTAATAGATATTGGTATCTTGATGGACAAACACTGCTAATAATCATATGTGTTGGCATCGTGTTCCCTCTTGCACTTCTTCCCAAAATAGGTAAGTCTTTATAGAGCACATTATTTGTTTAGAGAAAGGAAAGAAGGGAGGGAGGGAAAGAGAGAGAAATATTAAGGGGCTTTCAAATTTCACAGTACCACATTTTTGGCAGAAGCATGGTGGTTGTGAATAATTTTAAACTTGGCCTTATTTTAGGTTGTTCAGCCTTCAGCCCTGCCTAGTTAACCTATTACTTGGTTTGCAGTAGTATTTTGTCTGCCCCACTAAAATAAAATCTTTACGGCGGAACATTAAAGAACAGCCTTTCCTTACAGTGTACCATTAGTGGTAAGCCAGTTCCAATTCTGCTGTACAGAGCTACATAAATGATCTGTGACAGATAGTTGGAATGTTGTTATTCTGAGCTCTAAGCCCCAGATACCAACCACTGTAATAGAAAACATGCCTAAGATGTATAGTTTTAGTTGTATGTTAAAATCACTTTCCTTATAAATTGCTTTTTATTTTACTGTTACTTTACAGGCTTTCTTGGCTACACAAGTAGTTTATCATTTTTCTTTATGATGTTCTTTGCTCTTGTGGTAAGTTTAAAATATAATACATTGCTTATCTCCTCACTAAAATTGGACTCATCGTGTTAATGTCTTTCTTACTTTTAACTGTTTTGTGTTGGGAAGGGTATCTCATTTTATTTCATTGTGTTATTAAAAGCACTTTTGTTCCATTAAATTATTTCCTTCATTGTATCTATTTTGAAGAGGCTTAGGTAGAATAGCATTTCAAATTCAGCATTTCTTGTGGTTAACTAGAGAGGAGAGCATGGCAATTCTGTTAAAATCTTAGATGGAGTGTAATTCTTTGTGTAGGTGTATAAATTTATTCCTGTACCATATTGTATGAAGAATCAGTCTGGTTCTAATCTGTAAAATCTATTTGAGACTAGTCATCTTAATCTTGAAACTTTATTCCATTAATGAAATAAACAGAGCTTCTGGGGCTACACTGAGGAGATCTAGTAAGAACTGGGTTGCCTGAATTCTCCTATTTTGTCTGGTTTATTCAGCATAGATAAATTCTCATAAAAACACTGCTACAAATTAATATTTTTCTTCACATGTGGGATATATTCCTTATGTTTTAATAAGCTCATTTTTGTTATATAAAATTATCAGATGACAAATTTAACTTATTTTGATATTATAAAATAATATAAAGATAAAAGAATTTAAATTTATTTCCTTCGAATTCTTCTAAAACATCTTAATATTCTAAAGATAGTACCTTTGTGTGAAAATTTTTAAGTCTTTTTTCTTTGTATAGCAGTTTATTCCATAATCAGTATCTAAATGTCAAACCTTAAGTAGAATTATACATTTTTAACGTTCCAAGAATATACATGTCCAAATGAGCTTTTCATGAGCTTGGTTCAACTCTTTCTTGTTTTTGAAAATGCATGAAAGAAAACAGCCATATGTAAGACCAGGGCAGCACATCAGTAGTTAAGCCATATTATAGAGCCAGATTTCAAAGCTGTCAAAACAACCCAGGGTGCATTTAACTTAGGCTAAGCTATCTTCTGAGACACAGGGATAAAATAACTTTAAATTATTTAAACAAAGTGGAAGTGACTCTGATTTTAGTGTATATAAGCATTTATCCTCTATTGAATGCTCTTAAAACTAAAAACATTTAACAATGTTTGCATTTAATCATTTATTGAATTTAACAACATTAAAATCATTCCTCCTCTTCTCTCCCCAGTTGTCTGACTTATATCTTACAAATAAGTAAATTGAACATACACTTTGTAGGCTCCATACTGAAAAAGAAAAAAACTAAATATTTCCATCATAATTTGATTGTGGAGAAGTGTGGTTAGAAGTGGCCTGCATATGCAAATGAATGTATGGATATTAAAGAGAATCAGTGTAGATAACATACTGAATTTTTCTCTCACAGATAATTGACAATGCAATCATTGCATAGGTAGGAGTAATTTAGTTTTCATAGCTAATAGCTTAAAGCAGATTAAATGTATTGATATGATATGTCTACTGCAGTTTTGTTTCTGTCATGACAGATACTCTTTAATTCAATGCAGATTTCTACTGTAGCAGTCATATGGAAATAATACCCATATTCTACATTTATTGTAATGCCTTATAAACCATCTGCTCAGATTTTTACCTGTGAGCACAGTTTAAATTTAATCTACAGTGGGGCAATGAAGAACACTCTGTATGCTTTTTTAAATACTCTTTTTAATTGGCATGTTTATTTTATTATTTATTTATTTAGAGACAGAGTTTTCCTCTGTTGCCCAGGGTGGAGTACAGTGGCACAATCTCAGTTCACTGCAACTTCCACCTCCCAGGTTCAGGCAATTCTCCTGACTCAGCCTCCCAAATAGCTGGGATTTCAGGCGCATGTTTTTTTTTTTTTTTTTTTTTTTTTTTTTTTTTTTTTTTTTTTTTTTTTTTACTAGAGATGGGGTTTCACCACGTTGGCCAGGCAAGTCTTGAACTCCGGACCTCAAGTGATCCACCCACCTCGGCCTCCCAAAGTGCTGGAATTACAGATGTGAGCCACCATGCCCAGCCGCCATGTTTATTTTAGATTCTCTGAATGTTAGCTTTTAAAATACATAGTGGTTAGGAAAAGGAAACGTATGTATACTAACCCAGAATTTTGGAAGGATACCAATTTTTCATTTATTATTTTTGTCAATATGTGTTTGTAAATATGTATAGTATTTATATCCCATTTTTAAAAAATCAGTTCAGAAACTATTATTTTCTTATATTCTTTGAATAATATAAATTAAAACCTATATTTTATCTGTTCTCCCAGATCTGATTTTCATTTAAAAAATTTAACCTAAATTTTTGCCCCCTCTAAAATATTTTACAATTTTAAAAATAAATTTTATCAGTGTCTCAGAATGATACCAACAAGATGAATTTACCTTTTTTGGTAAATTTACTTTTTTTTGGTGTATTTTAGAACACAAACGAATTACCATTCGTTCTAAAAGTTCTATATTTAGTGCAGATTAGTATTCTAAGCAACGTTTTAATAGGTCAGTAATCCAATTAGACAACTTTTTTTTTAAGAGACAGAATCTCTCTCTCCAGTCACCCAGACTGGAGTGCAGTGGCATGATCATAGCTCACTGCAGCCTCAAACTCCTGGGCTTAAGTGATTTCCCTGCATCAGCTTTCTGAGTAGCTAGAACGACAGCCGCATGCCACCACGCCTGTATAATTTCTTTTTTTTTTTTTTTTTTTAGACGGAGTCTCGCTCTGTCACCCAGGCTGGAGTGCAGTGGCGCCATCTCGGCTCACTGCAAGCTCCGCCTCCTGGGTTCACGCCATTCTCCTGCCTCAGCCTCCCGAGTAGCTGGGATTACAGGCACCTGCCACCACGCCTGTATAATTTCTTTTTTTTTTTTTTTTTTTTGTATTTTTAGTAGAGACGGGGTTTCACCATGTTAGCCAGGATGGTCTTGATCTCCTGACTTCGTGATCCGCCCGCCTCGCCTCCCAAAGTGCTGGAATTACAGACGTGAGCCACCGTGCCCGGTCAGATAATTTTTTTTTTAATGTTTGTAGAGACAGAGTCTCATTATGTTGCCCAGGCTAGTCTTTAACTCCTGTGTTCAAGCGATCCTCCCACCTTGGCCTCCCAAAGTGCTGAGATTATAGGTGTGAGCCACTGCACTGGCCTGAAATAGAGAATTATTTAAATGGATTTTAGTCAGAAGCTTTCCTTCTACTGAACACTATGTTAGACATTTTAGGGTGTGGAAATTTAACCTGGACACTAGTCTTAAGGATCTGTCAATCTAGTAGGGGAGATAAATTTCTTTTCAAACATAGAGAACAATGTGTGCAATATATAATTAAGTATTGATATATTTGCTTCAGAATAAGAGTCTCAAGAGTTGAGAGAAGAGAAGGCTCACTGAGAGCTAGAGTAAAGGCGGATTTTAAAGGAAATACAACTTGAGTTGAGCCACAAAAGATGCAAAGGGCTTAGAGCAGAGAGCAGGAAGGGAGGCCTTTTGTGCAAGTGAACAAATATTTTTAATACTTAATCTCCTTTTTGCTTTGTCATTCCAACCCCAAGACATCTTCTTACCAACATGAGCAAGGACTTCCTGTTAATCTTTCCTCTTTGTTGTTGGGTCTCGTTTCACTCCTGTTCTGTACTTCTGCTTTGGGGAACATCATCTCTATCCACCCCATACCACCATGCAGGCTTGGAGTTGGGATGGATCTTTGCAGAGAAATTAGCTGTAGTAACTAAACTATTAATATAAAATCAGGCTACTACTTATTTTTTTCTAATTAATAAAAATTAATGATAATATTGCATTTTGGAGCATTGCTTTGAAATATTTTGATTTGAAAGCTTAAGAAATAACAACTGATAAATGAGGCAGCTCACATACAGAATTTATCAAGGTACATGGTGCACAGCAAGTCCTCAGTAAATGTTTTTTTCTGCCAACAATACCATTGTTAGTAAGGTGAAAATGTAAGAAACTGAATTTGGGCCAGTGCAGTGTGGCTCACACCTGTAATCCCAGCACTTTGGGAGCCTGGGACAGGCAGATCACTTGAGCCCAGGAGTTCGAGACCAGCCTGGGCAACATGGCAAACTCTCGTCTCTACAAAAAACACAAAAATTAGCTGGGTATGATGGCCATGCACCTGTAATCCCAGCTACTCAAGAGGCTGTGGTGGGAGGATGGTTTGAGCCTGGGAGGTGGAGGTTGCAGTGAGCTGAGATTCTGTTACTGCACTCCAGACTGGATGACAGAGTGAGACCCTGTCTTAAAAAAACAAGAAAAGAAACTGAATTTGGAGCAGTTTCACCCTCACCCCATCCTCATCCTTTTTTTTTTTTGGAAAACCTATCAAGATAATGATGGTGAGATTATTGCTTTTGATTTTGTTATTTTCTTTTGGTAAGTTGACTGTTTCATTTTATGTCATATTGAAACTTACCTAGAAATGTCAAAGCAACTTGTCTAGTTTATCCTTATACAGTAATTTTTTTCTTGGTGAGGTTTTAAATTAAAAGTGATTCTTTAGTTCACTCCTTAACTTAATCCTAAAAGTATGTGTTTGCCTTATATTTGTTTTATCAGTGTGTAAAATTTTGATTAAATTAGTCAAAATCCAAAACTAGGTAAATACAAAGTAGGAATAGAAATAGTGTTTACGTATTGGTCTCCTACAAAGGACAAATACTTTATTCTTTCTTGTCCCTTTGTGCACTGGGATTCAGCCGGAGCAAACATTTACAGAGTAATTATGTGCCCTGAAACAACAGCAACAATGGTAATATTGACAGAGCCACAGCTATAGGTCTAATAACAGGATGGCCACAATTAAGAGTAAAAACGTGAAACATTTTCATTGATTAATTCTGGGAAACAGCATCCCTCTGGATTTCTTTTAATGTTTTTTTTTTTTTTAATTTATTTTTACCAGCTGGAGTTCCCTAGCTATATGCTCTTATTCCAGCCAGCTTTCTCCACATTCGCCAAAAATAATTCAAATCTGTAAAAGTAAGGAGGGGCAGCACTTAATGCGTACATCAGAAATCCCTGAGCTCCTCCTGTGTATAACGTCTCTACTTATTTCTTCCTGTGGCCTTTCCGTAAACTGCTATTAAATGTTTCTCTATTCACTAATACCTGCTCCACAAATAACCATATTCCTGTATGACAGTCACTAAAAACATCATGTTCCTATTTTTAGTTGCACTTAAAAAAAAATGCCTTGATGATGTTGGAATTTTGAAAGTTGACACAAGAGTACCCTTAGTCTTTAATGGGGGAGATCTCTACTTAACACCCTGCAGTCTCCAACCCCCTCCCTGCCACAGGTGACCTTAAATGTTGACCCCATTCTAACCAGGAAAAGTCACAGAAGCAGATATTCTTTTATTAGCATCTGATTTGATATGGCATGAGATTAATTGAAATGATACTGACCTATTTAAATTCAGTTTCTTACTCGTTTTATAAGAAATGATCTGAGTGCTGATTGTGTTTACTTTTTTAGGTAATAATTAAAAAATGGTCCATCCCTTGTCCTCTGACATTAAATTATGTAGAGAAATGCTTCCAGGTAATAGCTGATATTTTCTTTTCAGTTTCTTCCTTTTTATTTTAAACTAAAAAGAAAAGAAAGACTAATGATTCTTTTCTGATTAATGAAAAAGTAATGGCTATATTGCATTTTAGAACTTTGTTTTGAAATACTTTGATTTGAAAGCCTCGTAATAATAAATTCATCATTTTTATTGATATATTCTGAAATTTAATGGCTGTTGGTTTCTCTTTTTCCCCTCAATACTCTTAAACAGATTTCAAATGCTACAGATGATTGTAAGCCAAAACTCTTTCATTTCTCCAAAGAGGTGTGTAAGTTATTAACAGATACTTTTAGTTGATTTTTCACATTTCAAGTTTTAAGAGGTTTGTGTAACAGGGTCTCTTAGGTCTTTGTACCTGTAACTAATTAATTTTCATGAAAGTGCTAAGTATAGGATTGCCTACCAGAAGAATACTATTATTTAACACAGGGTGGCCTATTATGAAACAGCCACCTTTTTTTTTTTTTTTTCCCCTGGCATGCCTTTAAATGGAGCCTGTTTTAAATGGGCCTCTGCCTAAAAGAACAGATTTACCGAATGTCTGGTCTGGCCAATAAGGTCCTCTGTGTATACAGACTTCCTGTTGCCCTCTGGACTTGTAAAGCTAAATAGCCAATTATATCAAAAACTCTTCCCCTGTGAGTAGAACCTTGGTCTGTAGCTAAACAGCCTCATCATTGGACTAGGGATTGAGCACTGCCAATATATCTTCTGGCCAACATTCCAAAGTTGAAATTTATGATGCCAGGAGTAGAGACTAGGAGACCAAGTCGCTTTGCCTTCTCTAAGAGCTGTAGGATACTGGAAATGCCTGTAAGAGCCCCTAAGCATCAGCAGAGGAGACAAGAACTGTGACATGGATGGTCTCTGCTTTACCACTCTAGAAGAGCTCAAAGTCTTCCCTGTTGCTGCAAGCCTCTTCGTCTATACTTTCTGACTCTGCTGAAATGCTATTTTGTATAGGTCCCACATGCTAGAATCCCCCCTGCTCATGTACAACTCTATTACTGTAGAATGTTGGTGTGGTTACTTCACCATGCAGAATTTTCCTTTTTATCTTTAGTTTTTAAATGAGAAATATCTCTCTGGTCCAAAAGGGAGATTACCAAATCTTTTACATGGTGAAGACCTCCAGGTGCCTTAAAGATCTAGGTAGGATAATTGACAAGCCAGGAAATTGAGCAATATATGAAATAGAGAATTTGTGAATTAAACTCTCATTTTCCTAGTCCAGCCTCAGGAAACACTACAACTTCCTCTCTCCTAAACCCCTTCAGGTATTTTAAGACTCTAGGCATTATGTCCCAAGATAGGTCTTCATTTCTGGAATTTCTTTTGTTTAAGAGCCTAAAGTTAGTTAAGTGGAAATTTTTTTTGAGCAGAAATGAAAAAATAGATCACCATCATCTATTTGGTAAAGATGGTATTTTCACTTAAATGGTAACTTCTTTTGCTTTACTCTGACTCTTAAGTATTCTAATAATAAAAACAAAACCTTATACTTGTATATTACATTGGATCTCTTAAGAGTTTGTAGGTCTAGAATAAATGATATTCATTCCCATTGAAAGAGATCCTAATCAAAGATGCTGGCAATATTAAAATGTGATTAATATTTTTGGTATTCCCTTGGATTAAGTTCATGAAAGCAGGTTCAAGAGTATTAACTGTTAGTGCTGCTTAGAGTAAAAAGATACGTTTAAATGGTGCATACATTTAGAAGACTGAGAATTTAAAAAGAACATTTCTAAAATGTTATTTTATCTCATTTAAATATTATTTATCTTATGTAATTTTAAAAATCTTATCCAGATAATGTAAAAGTAGTGATTGTAGTAAAAGCAACATGGTATGGGAAACCAAACAAAAAATATTCTGGCTAGTACAGGCAAGCCTACTTCAAATAAAATGTTTGCTGGTGATCACAAGTGTTTTCTCTTTTAAAAAAATTCTTATTTTATAAAGAGAGGACTCATTAAAGATGAAATAAGTGTAATCAAATTGATTTTTTAAAGAACTGAGTTTTTTGTCAAACGAAATAATGGCTTCAGTAGAGCAACATTTAATAATTTTGTCTTTTAAAAATTTTTTTCAGAGTGCATATGCCTTACCAACCATGGCTTTTTCATTTCTCTGCCATACCTCAATATTGCCCATATACTGTGAACTTCAAAGGTACTGTAGAATCCTGGAATATTTTAAATATATTGTGTTTCTTTTTACCTCTAGGGCTTTCAGATTGAATGACATTCTCTTTTATTAATCCTTTCCTCTCATCAGTGGATCCTAAGTGTTAGTTTAAAACAAAACAAACTAGAGTTAGTTCTGTTCAAGGTGAGAATGTTTCCTACAACTGTAATCTTTGAGACTGGCTCACACCTGTAATCCCAGCACTTTGGGAGGCCGAGGCGGGTGGATCACCTGAGGTCAGGAGTTCAAGACCAGCCTGGCTAACATGGTGAAACCCCGTCTCTACTCTATTTTGTATTTCTAAAAATACAAAAAAATTAGCCGGATGTGGTGGCAGGCACCTGTAATCCCAGCTACTCGTGAGGCTGAGGCAGGAGAATTGCTTGAACCCAGGAGGTGGAGGTTACAGTGAGCCAAGATCACACTACTGTATTCCAGCCTGGGCGACAGAGTGAGACTCTGTCTCAAAAAAAAAAAAAGAGAAGCATAATTTATGTGTACTAATTTCAAATGAGGAATTCTAGTGTGTAGTTATTGATGAAGTTGTTCTTGAATGAGGAATTCTCTCGACCAGCTTAGGACGTACTTACTTCTTTACGTATAATTCAGATCACTTATTCTACCTTTGCCATTTTTGTCTTTTAGTCCTTCAAAGAAAAGAATGCAGAATGTTACCAATACAGCAATTGCTTTAAGTTTTCTCATTTATTTTATATCTGCACTCTTTGGCTACCTCACTTTTTATGGTAAGTACATTTTAAAATTATAGATGACAAAATAATAGTTACATAGATGGCCTCACGCCAATGTATAGACTTTACTGATGCCTTTTATTACTAAGTTAATTTGTTCAGGTCACCAAATTACAATGCAGAACTGTGGTAGTTCTTGAGGCCTAAACAATTGGATTATCTTTCTTTTAGAAAGGTAGTTCAGGTTTAAGATTAATGACTTCTTAGATGAAAATTTTCTTAAACACTTAAGTAAAACGTCAGGCTTAGGGACATTGATTCTTCCTATAAGAAAAAATGTGCAATTTTAATGATTCTGTTTTTCTTAAATTTTGAATTCAATATATTAGTCTAATTCAGAAATGTGGGGGTTGGGTGAGTCAGTCATCTTAATTGCAAAAGAACAAGTTGAGAAAGGAAAGGATTTTACACTGGACTATAGCTGTATACTTAGATGTCAGACATCTCTGCCTTCAGACCTAATTATCACAGGATTCAGCAGATGTGCATTCTATGATGCACCATGACCTTTCTCCTTAATTATTTTTACAGGTTCTTTTAAATTTATGCAACAAAAATAAAATTGTGTTTTATTTCTCTTGCAAAAACAGTCTGCTTTGTATGTTGATTTTTTTTTCCTCTTCTGATAAGAACCTCAAGAAAAAGTAAACTTCTGTGTACACCATCAGGAAAAGCATTTCCAATGTGAGCATGGTGCCTGCTAGAGACACTACGAAGAAAGTTAAAACAGATTGTCAAGCTTTTCTGCTCATCATTAATAAAACAAAATTACTTAAATATATAAACTTTATTTTTAGATGTTGGGTTTGTTAGTTTTTATACAGACTTGAACTCAATAAGACTTTTCTGTGTCAATAAGATACTATAACAGGGTCTCTTGGGATCCAAATATGTTTTTTATAGTGGAATAGCTATATATTTCTTTTATTAAAATTGCCACCTGGCACAAACACTTATATTTAGGGATCCTCAGCAATGAGGAAAAAGTCCCAAAAAACTGACCTCCTTCTTCTCCTTATGGATAAATATAACTATCTGGAAGAAACCTCAGATGGCTTGCCAATATCCAGGCTGGCTGAGAAATTGTTACATGAATCACCATTAGGTGCTTAGAAGCTGTATTAAATTGTAGCTGTATTAAATTGAAAGGGATGTGGAGTAGGGATGGAAGCTAATACCTTTATTGAGCTAACATTTAAGCAAGTGGCATGTATTTTATATATACTGCCTAACTTAATCGTTATAACAACTCTGCAAGCTAAGTGTAGGTTCATTTAGGTTGAGTAATTAGACCAGATACTTGAAGCCAATTAATAGTGGAATTGGGATTTGAATCTAGTTTTGTCTCTCTCCAAAGCCAGTGCCTTTATTGCTGTGCTGTCTCCTCAGAAACTGTGCTGTAGAAGCCAGATTTCCTTTATTCCAAGTTTTTGTTAAGGTGATCGATCTTTTAGGAAAAATATGACTCACTTAAGCTGTAGGCATCCATCTATGTATGTATCTACGTGTATTCTATCTATCTAACATTGTTGCTTGAACACAAAGGCTAAAGGTTTTCATCATGTAGATGGCATGTTTCCTAGACAAGGATTTGCTTAGTTATCAAGTAAAGCCATTATGTTGTCTCTGATTTAATCCCTTCTCCACCAATGCAAATTCTTCAGAGTATGCAAATTTTATATAATGGAGAAATACACATCTAAGAAAATCACATGGTAGGTAGGTAGGCAGATAGATGGGTGGATGAATAGAGATAGATAGATGATTGATAGATAGATAGATAGATAGATAGATAGATAGATAGATAGATAGATAGATAGATAGATAGAATAAATGATACAAAAGTAAGTTCTTCTCCAAAGACAGAAGAGGCAGATATTGATTTGCTCTTGGATTGTGAATCAGAACCAAGAAAAGCCTTTGATCATATCTTTCTATCAGGATAACAGGAGCTTTGTGTCATAGGAAGAAATTGCTGATGGAACCTGAGATCTTATCATAAGGGCTAGCCTCCACTTTAGGCTTCTAATTCATTTTACAGATGAGCAACTAAAGCCCAGAGAGGCAAAGTGACCTGTCACAGAATTAAAGGCAGGTGTCCTGAATACTAATCCAGTGTTCTTTCTGCTACTTTGTGATAATCTTTGTAAACTTAATACCCTGTTTGACAATGTGTATTAAACAGGCCCGCCTCCTGACTTCAATGGCATATATAACTTGCAGAGCACCATTAGGCCCTTTCTGAGATTTGTAGAGATTTGTCTGAATCCGGGGAAGCATGCAGTACTCTATCCCTCACATATGTTATGGCTCAGTTAAGAACACAGAGTGACTGGCTCAGAAGAAGGGTTTTCATCCTGGGAAAGTAGAAAGTGGACATGTGACATCTATGTTGAATTTGTGATAAATCTAGTTCTTCAAGATTCAGGAGCTGCTTTGGATCCTTTTATCCAGAGCTCCCAAAGCTTAATTTCTAAATTTGTCAGATTAAAGGGACCTATAGGTAATGTACCTAGATTAATGATACTTGCTCTGATTACAGCTGTGAAAGAGAGAAAAGGGTTCCTCTGGTGAGCCAGGCCAATGCCCAAATGTTGCATAATAGCCAGGCCATTTAAAAAGTCTATGAGGTTGTTAAGCAAGAAGTGTTAATAGCTCATTTTATGATTCAGAAAATGGAAATAAAATAGTTTGCCATATTTCTCCAAAGACTCACAAGTATCTCACAGATTTGGAAATAGAATCCAGATTTCCTAGCTCTTCTTAGTCTCCTACTTAGTCCAAATCCCACATTGTGTAAAGTATGTTTTTGATACTTTGGACAATTCATTTCTCTCCTGTTTCCATTATCACTAGTCTAGTTCAGATTATCTTTACCTCTCAGTGATTGTAACAGTAGCTGTTATGCCTGTTTGGGGTCTCTTTTTCTTCCGATCCATACTCCTGCTTAGTTCAGATCATAATATACTGTTCTTTGTAAGTCATTGTTGCATTTCTGTGGCCTACCAGATTGAGGCCACACCATGCAGAACTATATTACTAGGTCTTAAATGTATTTCCAGCCCTATCACCCACACACTGTTTCATCCACTCTAGTACTTACTGGACCACTTATTTTCTCAGAGGCAGATTCCCTTAGCTTTTGTTTGTGCTGCTCCTTGCTTCTAGAGAATCTCTTCCCCCACATCTTTGAACATCAGCACACACGCATTGACTCATGTAATGTTCTCAGTAACCCTGTAGTTCAGCATATTACCATCCCCATTTTAAAGATGTAGGAACTGAGAGACTCAGAGAAGTTAAGGTACTAGTAACTGGTGGGATTTGAACATGTTCTGTGTCATCACAGTTTAGAATCTCCATAGCTCTTGTTTAGAACTCTCTGGCCACTTACATGTGTGTATCACACTTTCTGTCATATCTATATGTATTCATCTTATCTCTTCTTAAAGTTCCCTGAGAACAGAGGTATGTTTCCTTTGGTTGTTGATTTCCCTCAAAGAATCGTTTCTAAAACACTCTCAAATTAAAAAGCACCATTCTATTTTAAGTACAAACTGATACTTTCCCACAAAACACTGATATCCAGTGTTTCTGGCACCCTCAGTCTTCTTTCCCCTTGTCTTGAGTTGAGGTGAGGGAGACATTGTGAGAATGCAAGAACGCTGTGGACCAAAGCTTGGCTGGCATGTATAAATCCTATTGCTGACCACCACACACTGGCCTACTAAGTAAGACATTTCCCTAACACTTCTCTTTTTTATCTAAAACATGAATCCACAGATGAAATGTAACATGCACCAAACTCTGAGATTCTAGAAAACACTGTGGTATTGAGGAAAAGATACTGGCTCTAGCACCAAAAAGAAGTAGATGTATGGCACTGCCACTTTGTGTTATGTGATCTTAGGCAAATCATTTAACACCTTTGGACCTGCCTATGTGTTAATATTGTTATCATAGGGACTAAATTCAACAACACATGTGAAAGCACTTTATAAACAAACAACACAAATGGTCAAACCCTTAGATTATGGAAAGGTTCCAAAGAGATAATTTAGTATACATATTCATTGTCATATTTTAATTTTAGAGGTTCTGCTTGTTCTGTTTTTTATTAAAAGAAAAAGTGTTAGGTTTCAAGAAGATATTTAATTAATGTCTCTGTTTCATAGGCTAGGGGAAAGGCCAGGATTTGGTAATGGGAATCTAAAATCTGTTACCATCCATTAGTGCAAAGGAAAACAATTTTTTTACTATTAATATCTGAGTACTTTATAATGTAATCCTTATTATTTTATCTACAGACAAAGTGGAGTCAGAATTACTAAAAGGTTATAGTAAATACTTACCACATGATGTTGTTGTCATGACTGTGAAGTTATGCATACTATTTGCTGTGCTTTTGACAGTCCCTCTAATCCACTTCCCTGTAAGTACTCTTAAAGGGTTTTGTTGCCTAGTATGGACGCTTCCTAATAGGGCAACACTAATTCTTTGCAGAATAGAATGCTTGAATCACATCTAGTCTTGTATATGTTATTCACTTGTCAAGTAATTGATCAAAGACTTCATACTTGCATATGGCCCCATGAAAGCATAAAAATAACAGTGAGCCACTAAGCTAATTTGTGCTTTTTGAGATTTAGTTTAGCTTTCCGTTCTCCCACGGCATTGTTTCCAATTTAGAAACTATAGTTCTTCTAAAGTTTTGGGGTTTTTTCCCCTCGTTAATTCTGTATTCTGTTTTCAAAAAAAATGTGCATGAAGAGGAAAAAGTCAAGTCAGCAAAAATAAGCTCCTCTGATTTATTGTAAATTTATTTTAACTTAAGCATTCTAGTTCAATCTTGATCAAAATATTTTATTTGCTCTAGAATTGTAATTCAAGGGGCAAAACAGATTTTCATTGCATCTGGTTGCTATACATAAGAGTCTTAAGAGTTTCTGAGAAAATGGGAACAAAGGCTTTGGATATAAATGCATCTGCATGGATGTCTTAAGTCTCTAATGCTGAGTTTTGTAAGAACTGGGCCTTCAAGCCTCCTCCCTGTGTGGGCTGCAGTGCCAAGATTACAGCAGGGACTGGATAAATTTTTTTGGGATGTGACCGCCTGCTGTTCCCTTAGCAGTGGGAAGTGTAGTGAACTATTTTTTCATATTTACAGGCTGTAAAACATATAATATAAAATAAAATAGTAAGTGATATTTCTTTCCCATGGCATGATTTTTCTTTTATAAATTGTCTTTTTTTAATCTGTTAAATTTAATGAAAATGATTCTTTGAGATTTTTTTCATATTTTTATTATTGGTAATTTAAAAAAATTATGCAACCTAAAAAAATTGCATGTGAAAATTTTTTCTAGCATTAAAGCTAGGTATTTTTATGAAGCTTACACAGAAGGGGTTAGTATATAAACAGTTTATGTGTATAAACACCTTATAATAATAGTTTATGCTGTATTTTTGGAATCTAAATGATGTAGGAGGCAAAAATATCACGGTTATTGTATATGTTTCTCTCAGCAAATATTTGGACTTTGACATTTCCTCTTTGTTATATGTTTCTTTTTCTGTAATACAGGCCAGAAAAGCTGTAATGATGATGTTTTTCTCCAATTTTCCATTCTCGTGGATTCGCCATTTTTTGATCACTCTAGCACTCAATATTATCATCGTTTTACTTGCAATATATGTTCCTGACATTAGAAATGTATTTGGTGTAGTTGGTAAGTTTTCTGTTTCAAAAAGTTCACGTAATAAAATTGATAAAATTGTTACCCAGCCTCACATCTGAATCCAACAATATCCTCTCTTTTTTTCCCTCCAATTTAAAGGTGCCAGTACATCAACATGTTTGATTTTTATATTCCCAGGATTGTTTTATCTTAAACTTAGCAGAGAGGATTTTCTCTCGTGGAAAAAATTCGGGGTAGGTTGTTTTTATTTCTTTCTTTTAAGACTTCTATTTTAAGAAATAGTTTGTCAGTTTATATTATTTTACATACATCAAGAAAATCAATATATTTTAAAATATAAAATACATTATTTCAGAGAGTAGAGGCTTAACAAATAATCTAATTGTGTTTTTTATCTTTTTTCTTGTTTCCACAGGCATTTGTTTTGCTCATCTTTGGAATTTTGGTTGGGAATTTTAGTTTAGCACTCATCATTTTTGATTGGATTAACAAATAAATATTTTCCTACTTCTTAAAAGAATAATATACCTCTATATGTAAGAATGAATTATTCTGGAAGACACCCTGGATGAAAAATAACATTTTAATAAAAAATATTAACAGAAAAGCAGAACAAAATGTCAGTGGGTATGGGGAAGTAAGAGTATAGCAGTTTTAATCAAAAAAAGAAACAAACTTGAAATGCTTTTAAACATATTGGGTCAATCTTTTGTTTTTTAAATTAATATTTTTAATGGTAGTTTTATGTTTGCAGAAATCCTGAACAGAAAGTACAGAGTTCACATATACCTTTTTATGCCAACATATAGTTTCCCCTATTATTAACTCATGTTCGTGTGGTACGTTTGTTACATTTGATGAGCCAATGTTAACTATTATTATTAACTAAAGTTCATAGTTTACCTTAGGTTTCATTCTTGGCAATGACTAGCAACCACTGATTTTTTTTTAACTTTTATTTTAGGTTCAGGGTTACAAGTGAAAGTTTGTTACATAGGTAAACTTATGTCACAGGAGTTTGTTATACAGATTATTTCATCACCCAGGTATTAAACCCAGTACCCATTAGTTACTTTTCTGCTCCTCTCCCTCTTCCCACCCTCTACCCATAAGCCCAAGTTGTTTTTTTCTTTGTGTTCATAAGTTCTTATTATTTAGCTCTCACATATAAATGAAGACATGCAATATTTGGTTTTCTTTTCCTGTGTTAGTTTGCTAAGGATAAAAGCCTCCACCTCCATCCATGTTCCTGCAAAAGACATGATCTTATTTTTTTTATGGCTGCATGGTATTCCATGGTGTATATGTACCATATTTTCTGTCCATCATTGCCATATCCAGTCTGTCATTGATGGTATATAGGTTGATTCCATGTCTTTGCTATTGTGAATAGTGCTACAGTGAACATTTGTGTGCATGTGTCTTTATGGTAGAATAATTTATGTTTCTTGTGGTGTATACTCAGTAATGGGATTGCTGGGATGAATGGTAGTTTTGCTTTTAGCTCTTCAAGAAATCATCATACTGCTTCCACAATTGTTGAACTAATTTACACTCCCACCAAAAGTGTGTAAGTGTTCCCTTTTGTCCACAACCTTACCAGCATCTGTTATTTTTTGACTTTTTAATAGTAGCCATTCTGACTGATATGAGATGATAATCTCCTTGTGGTTTGGATTTGCATTTCTCTAATCAGTGATACTGAGCTTTTTAATGTTCTTGTTGGCAGCATGTATGTCTTCTTTTGAGAAGTGTCTGTTCATGTCCTTTGCTCACTTTTTAATGGGATTGTTTGTTTTTCTCTTGTAAATTTGTTTAAGTTCCTCATAGATGCTGAATATTAGACCTTTGTTGGATGTATAGTTTGCACATATTTTCTCCTATTCTGTAGGCTGTTTACTCTGATGATAGTTTTTTTTGCTGTGCAGAAGCTCTTAAGTTTAATTAGATCTCATTTGTCAGTTAATTTTTGCTTTTGTTGCGATTGCTTGGTGCCTTTGTCATGAAATCTTTGCCCGTTCCTATGTCCGGGATGGTATTGCCTAGGTTGTCTTCCAGGGTTTTTAAAGTTTTGGGTTTTACATTTAAGTCATTAATCCATCCTGAGTTGATTTTTATATATGGTATAAGGAAGGGGTACCGCTTCAGTCTTCTGCATATGGCTAGCCAGTTATTCCAGCACCATTTATTGAATAGTGAGTCTTTTCCCCATTGCTTGTTTTTGTCAGCTTTGTTGAAGATCAGATGGTCATAGGTGTGTGGCCTTATTTCTGGGATCCCTATACGGTTCCATTGGTCTATGTGTCTGTTTTTGTACCATTGCCATACTGTGTTTGTTCCTGTAGTCCTGTAGTATAGTTTGAAGTGGGTTAATGTGATACCTCCAGCTTTGTTCTTTTTGCTTAAGATTGCCTTGGCTATTCAGGCCCTTTTTTGGTTCCACATGAATTTTTACATAGTTTTATCTAGTTATGTGAAGAATGTCATTGGTAGTTTGATAGGAATAGCATTGAATCTGTAAATTGCTTTGGCCAGTATGGCCATTTTAATGATATTCATTCTTCCTATCCATGAACGTGGAATGTTTTTCCATTTGTTTGTGTCTTCTCTGATTTCTTTAAGTAGTGTTTTATAATTCTCATTGTAAAAATCTTTCACCTCCCTGGTTAGCTATATTCCTAGGTATTTTATTCTTTTTGTGGTAGTTGTGAATGGGATTGCCTGATTTGGCTCTCAGTTTGGCTACTGGTGGTATATAGGAATGCTAGTAATTTTTGTACATCGATTTTATATCCTGAAACTTTGCTGAAGTTATCAGCTAAAAGAGCTTTTGGGTAGAGACTTTTCTAGATATAGAATCATGTCATCTGCAAACAGAGATAATTTGACTTCCTCTCTTCCTATTTGGATGTCCTTTCTTTCTTTCTCTTGCCTGGCTGCTCTGGCTAGGACTTCCAATACTATGTTGAATAGGAGTGGTGAGAGAGGGTGTCCTCCTCTTATGCCAGTTTTCAAGGGAAATGCTTCCAGCTTTTGTCTATTCAGTATAATGTTGGCCGTGAGTTTGTCATGGATGCCACTTATTATTTTGAGGTATGTTCCTACAATATCTAGTTTGTTGAGAGCTTTTAACATGAAGGGGTATTGAATTTTATCAAAAGCCTTTTCTGCATCTATTGAGATGATCATGTGGTTTTTGTCTTTAGTTCTGTTTATGTGATTAATCACACTTATTGATTTGCATATGTTGAACCACCCTTGCATCTCGTATAAGTGTACTTGATCATGGTGGATTAGCTTTTAATGTGTTGCTGGATTCAGTTTGCAAGTATTTTGTTGAGGCTTTTTGCATCGATATTCATCAAGGATATTGACCTGAAGTTTTCTTTTTTAATTGTGTATCTGCCAGGTTTTAGTATCAAGGTGATGCTGGCCTCATAGAATGAGGTGAAGAGGAGTCCCTCCTCCTCAATTTTTTTGGAGTGGTTTCTGTAGGAATAGTACCTGCTCTTCTTTGTACATTTCCACTGATCATTTTACTGTGTCCATAGTTTTGTCTTTTCCAAAATATCATATAGTTGCAATCATACAGTATGTATCATTTTCAGACTGGCTTATTTCATTTACCAATATGCAATTAAGTTTCTTCTGTGTCTTTTTGTGGCTTAATAGCTCCTTTCTTTTTAGCACTGAATAGTATTCCATTGTATGGATGTACCACAGTTTGTTTATCCATTCACCTGTTGAAAGATCTCTTGGTTGCTTCCAAGTCTTTGCAATTACAAATAAAGCTGTTCTAAGCTTTCGTGTGCAGGTTTTTTTTGTTTTGTTTTGAGACGAAGTCTCACTCTGTCACCCAGGCTGGAGTGCAGTGGCGCGATCTCGGCTCACTGCAACCTCCACCTCTCAGGTTCAAGCGATTCTCGTGCCTCAGCCTCCCAAGTAGCTGGGATTACAGGCACCACCACTACGCCTGGCTGATTTTTTCTATTTTTAGTAGAGATGGGGTTTTACCATGTTGGCCAGGCTGGTCTTATACTCCTGACATCAGGTGATCCATCCACCTCAGCCACCTGAAGTGCTGGGATTACAGGCGTAAGCCACGGTGCCCAGCCCCTGTGCAGATTTTTGTGTAGACATAGTGTCCAGCCTATTTGGGTAAATACCATGGAGCACAGTTCCTACATTGTATGGTAAGAATATATTTAATTTTATGAGAAATTGCCAAACTACCTTCCAAAATGGCTGTAACATTTTATATTCCAGACAACAGTAAGAGTTTCTGTGGTGTCAGTGTTTTAGATTTTCGCCATTCTAATTGGCAGGTAGTGGTATCTCATTGTTTTAGTTTGCAATTCCCTAATATGATATTGAGGATCTTTTCATATGCATTTTTATCATCTGTTTATTTTGTTTGGTGAAGTATCTGTTTAGTTCAACTCTCTTTTGTCTTTTTTTTTTTAAAGACTGGATCTTGCTATGTTACCCCAGCTGGATTTGAATTCCTGGGCTCAAATGATACTAGTGCCTCAGCATACTGAGTAGCTGGGACTGCAGCCACACACCACCATTTTTTAATTGTTTTCTCATTGTTGACTTTTAAGCATTCTTTTTATATTTTATATTTCTTAGGGGGTTTTTGTTTGTTTTGGTTTGGTTTTTTGAGACAGAGTCTCACTTCTGTCACCCAGACTGGAGTGCAGTGGTGTAATCTCAGCTCACTGCAACCTCTGCCTCCTGGGTTCAAGTAATTCTAGTGCCTCAGCCTCCCGAGTAGCTGGAATTATAGGCGCATGCCACCACACCCAGCTAATTTTTGTATTTTTAGTAGAGATGGGGTTTCACCATGTTGGCCAGGCTGGTCGCAAACTCCTTACCTCAAGTGATCCGCCCACCTCAGCCTCCCAAAGTGTTGAGATTACAGGCATAAGCCACCATGCCCAGCCAATTTCTATTTTTTAAATGTGTTTTGCAAATTTTTTTTTTTTGTGGCTTACTGTTTTATTCTCTTAACAGTGTCTTTCAAAGAGAAGAAGTGTTTAAATGTTCTTAAATATATTGGGTTAATCTTTTGTTTGTTTTAAGAAATCAGTGTATTAAATTTATATACAAAATTGATTCTTAGCTATGGTTTAATGTTGTCAGCATCAGTCACTAGTAACAAAACTGAGATTGTTCTACTTGGTGTTTTCTTCCCTGTAAATCCTATCTAAAAACTTTTCCTCTTCTGTTCATTATGAGATAGACCTGTGATGACTGGCTGTGTACTTGAAAGTCCTTTCTCTGAGTTTTCTTAGTTGGTCACAAAAACAGGCAACATTCTACTTGGCAAACAGAGATAAAATATTGATCATTTCTATAATTTTTTTTGGAGGTTATAAATCATTGCAGCTTCTCATTGACATGGCTTATTTCGGGTTAGGAACCAGAACTTAGGGCTCTGCTCCCAGGAAATTCTACATAAAGGGCACATTGTTAGCAGCCTACCAAAGCCAGGGTGTATCAGTAAAAATGTAATCCTACCCCAGTACACAGGTAAAGTAAAGAATTGCATGCCAAGTGCCAGTTTTCATATATGGAAATACGCACTTTTGCAGGTGCCCCTTTGCTTCTCACGTAGGAAATAAGCCGAAAAATTGACAACTGAGCTTCTTTTTTGAGAAGATCTGGATACTTATTTGGCAGC